TTCCATCCATATTATATATATAAATTTATATATAATTTATAATACATTTTTTGAAAAAATAAAAAACACAATAATTATTTTATATCTTTTTATACAAGCACAAAAAATTAATTTTTTTTAATTTAAAATCTGATGTTTGCCAGTATTGCATACATGCAATATTAGAGTGAACTGAAATATGTAATGTGCATATATGGGCATATGTGACGATAATTTCACACCGAAAATATCACATGATCTATTTCTAATTGGCTAGTAAAAATATTTTTTTTTGTCTACATCAAAAGTTCCGGGTCCCATGATAAAAAATATCATCACGGAACCCGAAGTTCCGACCATTTCAAACAAAAATTTTTTACTAGCCAATCAGAAACAGACCATGTACACATATGATATGTGAAATTATCGTCACATATGCCCATATATGCACATTACATATTTCAGTCCACTCTAATGCAATATACTGTATATGCAGCGAAAATTTATTTTAGAATCCAAGGTCATATGATTTATTTCCGATCAACGGAACGATTTATAATAATTCCGTTCAGACTGTAAATCAAGACCTTTGTTCTAAATTATGTCAGACAAAAAGGAGCGGTCGATTGCAAATCAAGAAAAAACAGTAGATTCAGAAGTAGACTCCAAAAAGGCTTTCTCCTTATTGTTTGTTCCTGAAATATTAGCTGAAATATGTGAATATGTAGAATCACCAAAAGAATTGTATAGTCTTTCTGCTGTATGTAGAAAGCTTCGCGATCTTCTGTGGTCAAATTCAATAATGACGCAAAAAATTTGGCGAGACAGTCGTTTTAGATTGGAAGATAAAAAAACCCAACCACCCAAGGGCATGAGCGAACAACAATATATTTGGTTGAAACATATGGGTGTTTCATGTCAATACTGTAGGAGCACGAGCACCATGAAAAATAAATGGGAATTTAAGAGATTATGTTGTGAAGAATGTGTACAAAAGAAAACTACCAGGTGCGTATGTTCGCATTTTTTATAATTAAAGCAAAAAGAAATCTATCACTAAATTATTTTAAATAGTCGAAGCGAACTTCTGAAGAAAAAGATTCCAGAAGAATTGCTTTCATGTCTTCCTTATGCTCAAACTATTAGCCATTTTACGAATGATGTGTTCTTTCCCATTCATCACGGAAGTTTAGATGATAGTTGTTATTATTGGACAGATGACGTTTATGCTATCCTAGCAGAGTACAATGAATTAAACGAAAATAATAAAAAAGCTTGGCTAGAGAAAAGACAAACAGCGACAAATGAATACATTGCATATATTAATGAAATTAAATCGCGAGAACAGAATGAATTAATAGTAGACATCTTTAAAAAATTTTTAGCATAATTGTTTTACAGCGTTATAGATAGAATTATGATGAAGGGAATTTAGTTCTGTATAATTAATGTATTGGTAAATATTTTCATATTATTTATTTAAACGCTCTTTATTCTTTTATGAACAATAATAATTCTTGAATTAAACATTACCAAATATATATTGAAATATTTTTAAAATATTAATTATAACAAATACTTATAAACCGATATTATTATAATAGATAAAAATATAAAAAACTCAAAAATATTAGAGTATGAAATTACTCGTATTTTAAAATAATTTTTAGTCTTTTGCTTATACTTGTTTTTAACGTTATAGTAAATAAAAATTAGCTAAAACAATTAAAGTAATAAAACAAAAACAATACATTGAATAAAATAAAAAGATAAAGAAAATAAAAGGATAAAATAAATAAATAAACAATTTTATTTTTAATAAGATAAAATTAAGATTATTTATAAAAATATTAATTAAAATATTAAATACTTTAATTACAACATTCTAAATAAATTTATTTTTTTTTAAAAAAAAATCTTTTTATATTAAATAAATATATTTGCAAAGACTAATAAAAAAATATGATATTAATTATATTTTATAAATTTAAAATTTGTAACAGCTGTAATAAATATTTATAATCATAAAATTTTTTTTAAAAAATGATTTTTTTTTTTTAATCTAATTTAATAATTGGTATGATTAATTAAATTATTGATAAAACATATAAAATAACAGGATAAAGTATAATTATTTTTAGGAAATTTGTAATTAAATAATTAGAAAATTATTGATAATAGAAAATACTTTTGCTAAAATTATTTTAATGTATAGCATTATAGTATTTTAAATAAATTGATTAATAAAATTACTAATTTGAAAAAATAAAATAAATTATTAATAAGTATATGTATATTAAATACTTTACTATATAAATACAATTTATATTAATTAAGTACGTATAATTATCAATTAATTTATTAGGATAGCTATTAATATGAAAAAAATAATTAAATTAATAATTAAAAATTAATATCATAAAATAAACAGATCATATTAAAAATAAAAATAAATTAATTTGTATATTAACATCTAATCTTTTTAGGATCAATTTTTTTATTAAAAATAATTTTATTTATGTAAAATTAATCGTCGAGATAATTATTTTTAAAATAAACGTTCTTTATAATATAGTTTAAACATTTACTTGCCTTTCTTTATTTGGATTTATTATAATGATTTTATTGATTTTCAAAAAAAAAAAAAAAATTCCATTCGATAAATTTAAAATAGAAAAATTTCATCATATTTAAATTAATTATAATTGTTGTTGATAAAAATTGATAAAGTACGAATTAATCAAAAATCCACTTTATATTGTCAATAAAGAAGTTAACTTGTAATTAATTGAGAATGAAAATATGAAGATAATAATGCAGTATGAAAATGATTTTTATATTCGTGTATCCATAATACATATTCAAATGCATTTATTTGTTTCATGTAATACTTTATGTCGACCTGTAATGTTTCTTGAAAAAGGTGAAGCATAAAAGATCCTAATAAATACTGTAAAACATTATTATCTTTTAATCCGAATGATACTCAGTGTTAAATACCAAGTTAGCATATTCTGCCGATAGACGAAAGGGTTAACCTTTCTTCATTCCAGAAAACATACTTGGAGTGTAAGAAATAATAAATATACAATTAATTAAATATCGTATATGTATATTGATCTTAAAATATTATGATTATCTAAAATGAAGACAGAAGAATACAATAAAATTTTCGCTACTAGACCGTGTATGACAGTCATATTTTCAGACAATTCGAATGCGTTTTGTAACATTCATTTAATTACTCTTCCTAAAGTGAATTTTTTATGATGAAAGTGTGATGTTTTATTAATTAAAAGCTTGGATTTTATCCGAATTCTAAGCGCTTTTATTTAATATCATTTATTGATTGACACAAGGTAATTAAAATTTTTAATTATTAAGGAAAAAACTTTTTTTTACGAAAAAAATATTTAAACAAATGTTCTTGGAAAATGATGGAATT